ATAAGGTTAATGTATTTAGATTGTAAAATTTGTATCAGGGACCCTAGAGGAGATGGAAAAAATGATTTAGTGATACAAACCTTTTATGTTCTAACATTTGTGTGAACAAAGGGAAATCCATAGCTTCAAATGATCCAGGGAAGAATAATAAATAGCGTTCCCTCAGAACTTTTTGTACCAAGGGTATTTGTCTTTTGCGTCAGTGAAATTTGCCTCTTTGAATAATGCCTGTTTTGTCAACCATTTACGAACGACAATCATAAATTTGTCCTTTTGGCTCTTACGTTTGTCTTTATGCTCTCTCCTAATCCCTGTCCTGTCATTTTACAATTCTGTTAATGCTTTCCTCTGTTAGTATACATTTTAAACACCGCCCAACAAACACCAAAACTTATAGCACCAATGATTTTAAATAAATCCTCTTTAGCATTTCAAGATATTTTTGTCACAACCTCATCTTTATACTTAAACTTTTTTTTTTCGGTAATCATATTTTGTAATTTTTTTTTTTTCAAAAAACGTATAGTTGTTTATTATTATTTTTTTTTTTTTCAAAAACATACAGCCATTATTTTTTCATAAACGTAAAAATGTTGTGCATTTTTCGACAATATTTACAAATTTTTGGGACTATTGTCCTCAAAACATAGAGTCTCCATATTTATTTCACAACGTTTCAGAGACGGGTTGTTTAGTCTTAACCAGGACCGTTTATTTTCATTTCCCCTCGGGAACTTCTTCAGGTGGTTGGAATATCTTTTCCAGACCGGATGCAGTTTTGATTCATACCCGCTCCCTCTGTTAAAATTGATGCCAGTGTCGTTTTCAGTTTTGCCTAATTTAGGCAACAATTTAAATCCACGTGCCATGTTTAATGGATGTAAACTTTATCAATTTAAACCCGGGGGCATTCAGAGCTCATTATTGATTCGTTCGTTTTACGGTTTAATTTGTTTATTAAAAGCCAAAAAATTTTTCCATTGGTTTTTCTGTGGTTGATAAAGCTTACTAATTAATATAAAGTGGGGCAACCCAATCTCCATCCCTTAGTTCTTTATATTCCACTATGCCTAAACCTGGTATTATCAGAACTTCACACTTATCTTTTCAGGATCCTTAAAGTCAAAATGTTTTTAGATTATGAAATTTATTGGACGGGATTTAGTGATACAAACTAAATTAACCCATAGCTTTTCGAGAGAATAGATAGATTTATCCAAGGGTATTTAATTTTTAAGTGAATATATCCATGTATCCTTATGTTACACATAATCCCATGGTCACATCTTGCTGGAATAATATGGGTACCGGTGTTTGACATGATGTAGCCGTAAATGTGTGTGCATGTTCAATATTTACCTATTGTCCTCAACTTGGTTAAGGCAGGTGGAATATCGAAACCCTTTATTTCGAGAGGAATTAACAGGAGATAAACCTGGTATTGAACTAATCTAACATCCATTAAACACATGGCACCACTAGAAAAGCTCTTACCGAACGAAATAACGGGTTCAGTTCGACATTCCAACCACCTGAAGAAGGGCGGGGCGTACAACGGCCGAAACTTTGTAATAAATATGGCGACAAAGATAAGGACAATAGTCCGAATAATGTAAATAGTGTACATAATACCTCATCTCAGAAATATAGACAGATACTGAAAGGCCGAAACGTTGTAATGAATATGGCAACAAAGATGAGGACAATAGTCCGAATAATGTAAATAGTGTACATAATACCTCATCTCAGAAATATAGACAGATACTGAAAGGCCGAAACGTTGTAATAAATATGGCGACAAAGATGAGGACAATAGTCCGAATAATGTAAATAGTGTACATAATACCTCATCTCAGAAATATAGAGTGTGCATGTATAGTTAGATCAACGTAAACATCACTTTAGTCGGATGCTTAGGGGACAAAAAGCGTTACATTAAAAATCACAACTTTATCATTAATTAATTTTCCTGATATATATATATATATATATATATATATATATATATATATATATATATATATATATATATATATACAAATTTGAATATGCAAAGAAATACTTTAGAGATCTTTTTCAGCTAATACATCAGAAGAAGAAAAGAACAAAGTTGATTGACAAAAGGGAAACAATTCGCTCTACAAGAGAAAATATGTCAAGAGGAGAAACTATGTCTAAAATACGAATTTATTAGTGAAATATTCGTTAATAAAACGAGGAGGAAAAAATAACAGGAAAAATATACGAATAAAAGTTAAATAGTTCCAGGTGAATGTAAAAACAGAAAAATATGTCAAATAAAAAATGGCGACTGGTAAAGTTGATTTTCACTTGTACCCCAACTGCATGAATTTAAACGTGCTACTAGGTTGGCATCTCAGTCCCACACTTTCACTGTCGAAACAGTTAAATGTAACCGCCTTTTCTACTTTAACAGCCTCTTCTTTCGCACTTCCCAACAGTGGAACTCTTCCTCATACTTGCTTCCCTGATAATCTTCAAAAATTTAAATGTAATGTCAATCGATATTTTCTGATGCCTTGATCTTGATCCCCGTCCTTCTCTTTATCCTTTTCCCAAACACCCCTCTTTACTCTTACTTTCACTCCCTGTAAACCCTTGCGCGCTCGTGGTACTTCCCCCTTGCTTGGGGTGAAATGCTTAAAAAAAATGTCGACCACTGATTTTTGGTCAGATCAATACCAATTTTAATCCAGTTAAAATTGTATGTAACTTTTTACATTGTAAAAGCTAAGTTACGCTAGCTTTTTATGAAGCATATGTCAGATGTCGTAACTTCAAGGAAGTCGATTAAGTCGTTTATCAAATAATTTCATACGGAAAATATTTGTTTAATTTTAGTTTCTTAGTTGTGAGATGTACATAATTAGTAGGTCAGATTTTTTTTTTTACTGAATTTCTATTATTTTTTTTTTTAAATTTTTTACGGTAAAGTTAAACTCGATCCGGGGGTCATTCGAGGTAGAGGTTTACGTGAAGGGGTACTTTATATGGATAAGAGGGGGAGATAGCTGATAACTTTAGACTTTTTTTCCTCCGATTTCCTTTCAAACTTGGTATGTAGGTTACATGACGAGCTCATTTTTATTCCTACGCAACTGAATTTAGCGGAAAACGAAAAATCAAATTCAGCACAAATCGATTTCAACAGAAATTTTAAACTAAAAACTCCCTCAATTTTCAAGCAATCTAATACAAACTTCACTCAATTGTAGCCAACAATAATTTGATTGTTTTACAATCATTTAACTTTATAATTGAGCCTACCCATATAATGAAAACTCACGTAAATAGCGACAAATTGCGATTTTTACTGGTTTCTTTCTTATTTTTCTTTTAAACTTTCAACCAATTTTCATCAAACTTAACAATTGTTTTATAAATGTATCCTCTTTTACATCCCTGGTAGCACACTGACAAATTGAATTTCAAAAACTCCAAAATAATTGTGGTCTGAAGTCGGTCTTCATGTTGCCTGTTTTATCCCTTCATGTCCTCGGCTAATTTCGATTGAATAAGTACAGACGACTTCTGTTATAGTGATCGGGGAAACATCCTCTGAAGAGTGGGTTCCATAGAATAGCGGTTCGCGGGAAGAAGCTGTTTGAGTGGATCTTACTTCTCGCCGATGAAATACAGAGAGAATATGGGTGGTTTGTTACTATGTAAATGGCATGGCGGGTCCCAGCCGTGACGGTTAGATCTGGTGGAACCAAGGAATGTAATTTGTCCGAACACTTTCCTTGGTAGTAGCGACAAAGCAGTGAGAGACTTGCCAAATGCCATTTGTGAGAGAGAAGTTGGAGGGAGGAAAATAATTTTTCTCCAACAAGGACCCGGAGACGCTTTTGAAATCTATCAAGACTGGAAATTCAGGACTGGTCACCCCCCTCCCAAATATGACCACAGTACTCCATTTTGGGCCTGATTTGAGGATAGCATAAGAAGTCAGGTACTTGTTGGAGAGTTCCAGCAAAACGAATAACCCGACGTAATTTTAAAAACCTGTAATATATGAAAATCATTGGTGTATCACGTATTAACAGTAATTAAAATAATAATAATAATAAAAAATAATAATAATAATAATAATAATAATAATAATAATAATAATAATAATAATAATAACAATCCTATCTCCGTAACCGGGTCTGGGTGGTGTTCAGAAACTGGTATGAACACCACCCAGACCCGGTTACGGAGATAGGACCTGTTACAATTCTATGGGACTACACAATACACACTGACAACAATCAAGGCCAACCGGCCAGATATTGTTATTAAAGACCACAAACAAAAACGATGCCTCCTTATTGATATGGCAGTCCCTGCTGACTGCAATGTATCTTTGAAGATATTCAAAAAGTTGTCAAAGTACAAGGACCTTGAAATAGAAATCTCGAAAATATGGCATATGGGAACATCAACAATCCCTGTTGTAGTTGGAGCTCTAGGACTGGTTGGAAAAGATTGCAGTAGACTAAATGAAGGGATTCCTGGAAGTCCATGCCTCAAGGAGATACAAAAAATTGTTCTGACAAGTACAGCCCACACCTTACAAAGGGCTTTATCTATGTAATTTAATTCTTTTTTTTTTTTTTTTTTTTTTTTTTTTTTTTGTCAGTGGAAAGTGTCATGACGCCATTTCTAACCTTAGGTCCCTGGGCGGGACCCGGAAAGAAATGTGTAAACGCCAGAAATCAAAGAAAATAATAATAATAATAATATTGATTGGCAGTAGTTGAATTAAATATCAGTAATAAAACCAACACTAACGTAAGCGAGAAGAACGCTTCTGTTCACAGGACGTTGAGTATCCCAGTTGTGATACCTGCAGTGTATCGTGTTACTGACGAAAATGTAGCTGCCTATTATTGGCATACCTCGACGAGTCTTCTCTTTCCTGTAGGAAGAGGTAAAGTTATGCTACACTCACATACCTTTCGTAGAAACACAAATAGCTGGGTAACATTTCCTACTTGAAGTCAAATATAAATAACATCTTTCTCTTCCTAAGTCTTTCTCACTGTGTCTGCCTACCTTGTCTGACCCAAAAGCTAATAAAAGCAATCAGAATATTTCTATAGAAATTTAGCATGGTGCTTTAGAGGAATACCACATTAAAACTTACGTCTTTTTTCTATCATTATGATTTGATAGAATTTTCAAGCCAAGGTCAGAAGTTATATTTTGGCTTTTGATTATTTTTTAGACAGGATTTACCACTTATAAAATAAAAGAATAGAATAAAAGCTCATTTAACGTCAAAAGGAAAAAAAAGTCCTTGAATTCTTATAAAGATATGAATTTTAAACGTTTTTATAATGTATACTAAGTTTATAAGATGCCACATGAGGTAGAATATTTTTTCCCAACTAAAGTTATACGATTTTCTTATACGAAGTTTTCACTCTTTTGATTTTAATACTTATTAAAAATCGGTATCACCCCATGCAAGGTAATAAAGCCACTAAGACACAAGGGGTCACAGGGTGCGGAAGAATTAGGAACAAAAACATTAATAATGAGCGGGAAGAGGAAAGAGTAATCGGGAGAACAGTAGATAGCGATTGATATTACATTTAAATTTTTGCAGTTGGCTGGAAAGCAAGGAGCCGGAAGGGCGGCTCACAAGCGAGGAGTGCGAGAAAAGAAACCGTTAGCAAATAATTTACGGTTACATCTAGCCAGATCAAGTGTAAAGTGATGAGATCTCGACGTCATTCTTGTACTGCGCTTAAATACAAAAGGTCTAGGTGTATCCATAGCTCGTCCGAACAATTACCATGACAATAATTATAGAAAAGACACAGACAAGCAATCTTACGGAGGTGTGTAACTGACTGAAGCCGAGATGCCAGATCAGGACTAATAATATTGCTGATTCCTGTTTGGATCTTATCAATGAGATCAAGATAAATAGCAGGGTACCGGACCATATGTGGCAGCAATATTCTAATTATCGACGAATGGTTAACATAACCGTCTACCTCGAGTGATTCCTCGGCTTTGTACAGGGTGAACATTACCGTAAAAAAAAATGTTACCAGCGCTAACATGGTACTCTGTCGCCATCGAGATTAATGCAGTTTTCCGTTCGGCACACAATTGCATAAATACCATTTTGGAGTAGCGCTAAGTGACTGGAACCACCTTTGCATTTCTGGGACAGCAGTCTCTCTGAGAAACAGTTTCCCCGGGTAAATATCTTTTGAAATGCCTGAATAGATAATCTGAAGAAATCGAGTTAGGACTATACTGTTGATGCGTTAAAACATGCCAACCATATTGCTGGAACCATTTCATCAGGTTGGCAGTGTAGCGGGGTAGCCTTGTCGGGAAGAAGGAATTACCTTACGCTGGTCTCTTTCAGCGAATAGCTGATAATTAAATAGGCCAATATGAGAGAGGCGTGCTCTGTTACAATGATAATAGAGATCGGGGAGAGTTTGATAAAGAGGATGAGGGGGAAGTGTTACAGAAAATCGGTTTTCTCCTGTATCTTTGCCCCAAGGCGGTTCTGTTTTCTTAAAAACAAAAAGCAGTGTGTAGCCTGAAAGATTGCTTGTCACCAAGTACTCTTGTGATCAAATTGTCTCTTTCGATCTCTCTATACGACTGTAAGTGAAATCCTTTAGGAAAAAGTATGTATCTATATATCATCCATATCTATCATAGTTTATTGATATGTATCTAGCATAGTCTATCCATATCTATCTATCTATCTATCTCTATCTTTTATAAACAGACTTCATGCATAGTACGACCCCTGAATTTATTGCATAACTTTTAACTGTTCTGAAAATGCCTGAGTTTTAAAATCTTCAAAACATTACCTACGTAAATTGCGACCCCTATTTTTGCGTCAAGTACTGATAGTCAAAACTGGCGCTATACCCGTGTTTTTCTTTCTTTCTTTCTCAGTCTGTTCATATCTATCTATCTATCTATCTATCTATCTATCTATCTATCTATCTATCTATGTATTTCAGTCTATTCATATCTATCTATCTATCTATCTATCTATCTATCTACTCAGTTTCTTCATATCTATCTATCTATCTATCTATCTATCTATCTATCTATCTATCTATTTCAGTCTATTCATATCTATCTATTCCAGTCTATTCATATCTATCTATCTATCTATCTATCTATCTATCTATCTATCTATCTATCTATCTATTTCAGTCTATTCGTATCTATCTATCTATCTATCTATCTATCTATCTATCTATCTATCTGTTCATATCTATCTATCTATCTATCTATCTATCTATCTATCTATTTCAGTCCATTCATATCTATCTATTTCAGTCTATTCATATCTATCTATCTATCTATCTATCTATCTATCTATCTATCTATCTCAGTCTGTTCATATCTATCTATCTATCTATCTATCTATCTCTGTTCATATGTCCATCTATGAAGCTGAATCATGCAATTTTTCTTCTTTCCTCACAAACCTTTTGCTGATTCAATAAAGCTTAAAGCTAATAATGATAAAAATAAATGTCATCGGCTAAGTTAAATAAATCACTAGTTACAATGGATGTTAAAGTGTATAATTAATGCCGGGCCTCCCTCTATCTTTGATGTTTCGATGGAAACTTCTTGGCCGAGATGATCTAAAGCGGCTCGGATCTAACGATGGTTTACCCTGCCTAGGGGGACGCAGGTTCGTTTCCTGTCGGAACCCGCATATTTTCGTCTAATAAAATTTCTTGAATACACACACATGGGCATATACAAATAGGTTTTATATTGAAAAGACATTATAAAAAGTTAAACAGACAAACCTTGTCGGTATTGTTTATTATATTTATCAGTCTCCTAAACAATTAGCTCACCAAACTAACTGCCCAAAAGAGTCAACAGATCTCTATATATGAAACAAAGATTGTCTGTCTATCTGTCTGTGCGATACCTTTTCACTCGAATTCCAGCCAAACTTGGCAGATATATTGCACAATGTAAGAGGTACGTTTTTATCGGAAAAAATCGATATTTTTAAAAAAATCAATAATCGATAAAGCCGATCAAAAATCGATTAATTCAACATTTTTTCTCCCATTCCTTTCAAACTTGGTATGTAGGTTGCATGACGAGCTCGTTTTTATTTCTACGCAACTGAATTTAGCGGAAAACGAAAAATCAAATTCAGCACAAATCGATTTCAACAGAAATTTTAAACTAAAAACTCCCTCAATTTTCAAGCAATCACAAACTTCACTCAATTGTAGCCAACAATAAGTTGATTGTTTAACAATCATTTAACTTTATAATTGAGCCCAACCATATAGTGAAAACCCACGTAAATAGCGACAAATTGCGATTTTTACTGGTTTCTTTCTTATTTTTCGTTGATCTTTCAACCAATTTTCATCAAACTTAACAATTGTTTTATACATGTATCCTCTTTTACATCCCTGGTAGCACACTGACAAATTGAATTTCAAAAACTCCAAAATAATTGTGGTCTGAAGTGGGTCTTCATGTTGCCTGTTTTCCCCCTTCATGTCCTCAGTTACTTTCGATTGAATAAATACAGATTACTTCTGTTATATGAGTAACTTCATTAATTCAAAATGGTTTTAATGAAATTACTTCAAAGTAAATAAAGAAGATAGACTCTGTTACATCTAATCATGATGCTGTTTTTGCTCCATTCTAATTGAACGCTTTTTCTGATCGACCAGCTAGGTATGACTGCTAGTATATTATAAAACTACTATTCCATATGCACAGAAAGAATGAGTACTTGGTGAACCCGGACTGTTGTCCCCCCCAGAAATGTCACCATCTTAAGATCAACGGAAATAAACCACTCATGCTGATAATAATTAATTTTCTCCAGCACATTCTTCACTGTTTCATATTTTTCCTTCGGTTTAATCGAGTGAACGAGGATTACAGATACAAACTGGTTGCCATTGTGCAGCAAAATACTTTTCAGTGATCATTTGCTGCTGTCAATGAAAAGTCTCCAATCTTTGGGTTCGTACTGTGCTACTTCAATTTTGTGCATATGCTGCGCAATATCTGTACAGTACACCAAGTTCTTCTCGTCAGAGAAAAAAAAATGGAGATACTCTTGATGCCTGTCGTGGTAAAAGGTGAGGTGAGCATTGTCTGAGGGGGAGGTTTTTTTTCCTTCAATTTAGATGCGAACAGTTCGGCAGAGAACAATTTGAAATCTGGAAATAGATCATTTAGTTCTTTTGGGTGGGTGGGGGAAGTATGTGGAGCATTATCGTCAAAAACCAATTCTTCTTCATTTTCTTGAACACTGGAGAAATCTTCTTCACTAATATCAGGAAGTTCTCCAAAGACACGTAGTGGAATTTCATCCCAATGAGGACGACGTGCTGATTGAAGATCAAGATTCTTGAGGCTGCTCTGTATTTTTTTTTCTCTTGATCCCAGTCATATCAATAGCACAGAAGTAGAAGTTAGTGCTATGATTTGTTGGCTTCCTCCAAACCATGGGAATTAACAAACTTCAGACAACTCTTCTTGCACTTGATCCACCGACGCAGATACGCGGTACATGTTTTACATACCATGTGTACCGCCCAAGCTTTATCCTGGTCACCAAGTTTAATACCAAAAATAAAGAAAGTAAGTAAAATGTATGAAATTATGACTAGATTCCTATTAGAGACAATGGTGTCTTCACCGCAGATATAGCGGCAGACGTCGGGCTTATTTTTACAAGATTTGGTGGAAGCCATTCATTCACCTTTAAAATACTAATTAGATATAAATTAGTAAATTTATCTCTTCAGAGTTCGTTTATTTCAAGAAATAAAAAAATCCCTTCATACCGAAAATACCTGTACATTTTGAAGGAAACTTTCTACACGGGTTTTAGTTAAGTGTTAAAAAGCGGATTGTCGGGATTTGATATCAATAATATAAAACGTCGCTAGATTGCTCATAATTTGGCCTTTTAAAACAATCCAACGGCATTCATTAAAAGGATAAAATCATGCATTAAAACAAAACTTAATAGCAAGAAATAATATTAATTTTATATAGGTACCTCTGTAGCGAAAAAACACAATTTACTTAGAGATAACAAATAAAAGCCAAATTTATGCAATTATTAGAAAACATATATCTCGAATTACACACCAGTTTTCGTCTAGCTAAAACAAACACAAATATAGCAGAGTGCTGGCAATTATCGACTTGTCACCGAAGCTTACAACTGCGTCCGTGCGTTTCTCTTAAATAGGAATTGACATTTTGTCATCTTTTTTTTTCTGTTTCTCTCGGTGACGGTATGATATAGGTCGCCCATGGAGAAAAGCGTCCCCCACTGTGGTAAACACACACACACACACACACACACACAAAAGCACCTTTCACTTCACTTACACTTACTTTTCTCTATGACTTTCTCGTACACCAAATTTCATACAAACAAACACATTCTCCAGTTTAAATGCTTTCTTCTTTTATATTCCTACTTTTGTTATCCACAACACCTTTTACTAATTCGGTATACCTAAGATTTAAATCAGTAGTTCTTAAGCTTTTTGAAGTTGTGGCGCACTCGAAATCCTACCTTTATGTGCACTATGGACAAATTTCGGAAAAATATGTTATAATGAAGTCAAATATTGCAGAAAAGAAATAATGCAATAAAAAAATAAAATAAAATCAAACGTGCCTTAAGTTTATTCTTGTCTTTATGAGAAAAAAGAGCCTGATCAATCTTAGCAATTTTTTTCATTGTTTGGCCGTATATTTGATAGGCAAACTCTCATTTCCTCCTCAATACATTGAAGAGTTCCTCTCTTTTTCACTTAATTCTGGTGAGAGCGGGAAATCTTAATTCACATAAATATGAACAAGACGGTTACCGCAGTTATAATAAAGTAAATATATTTATTTCTTATATCTGGACACATATTTCTCTGGAATACCAGGGAGCACCTAGACATCTTCTAGGGCGCAACAGTACCCCGCCAGGCGAACCATTTGAGAAGCACTGCTTTAAATGAATTTTCATAAATAAAAAAAAGCTTAATTAACAGGAGATAACTGATATCTGACATCCATTAGACATGGCACGTGGAACTAGAACAGCCTACCCCAGTGAGCGAAATAAAGGGTTCACTTCGACATTCCAACCACCTGAAGAAGGCCGGAACGTACAACGGCCGAAACGCTTTAATAAACATGGCGACAAAGATAAGGACAATAGTCCGAATAATGTAAATAGTGTACATAATACCTCATCTCAGAAATATAGACAGATTAAAAAAGCTTTCTTGAAGTTTTCATTTTAGCTTTATTTGAAAGCTAAATGATTAAATTTTCTATTTCCAGTAAGTAGAACACACACTAGTTTATTTCAAACAGAAATTCTATTGGTAGAAGTAGATTCATATTTTGGGGGCTAAAAATGTATTTTTCTTTATTAAAATATCTTCCAAAAATAAAATATACTTTTCTGAAGCTTTGAGGAATGTTAGCTGATTTAAAGTATATTAATCTGATTTAAAAAGTATTTAAGCTGAAAATAACAAAGAAATGGATTTTTAAAACAAACAGTAGCGGTACTTGTCAAGATGCTGACAGGTTTATTATTGTTCTACGGAGACTTTATCTGTTAAAACACAAATTACGAAATGACAGGTAGACGCTATTTTATAAAATTTTTAAGTACCCAGTAATCTTAAAAATGTTGGAAATATTCTCCGTAATGTAATTTTAGGAATGTTGATTTTACATTTACTATTATGATCGATATTCTTTTCTCATAATGTCGGATATGGTCACCTATATTTTCAAAATGGTCAGGTTTATACACATAATTATTTTTTTTTTTAATTATTTTAAAAATATACGGGTTTGATGATTTGGGTTAAGCTTCTCAATATTCGCTTAATAAATATAATCTTCACTTAACAGCAAATAAATCTAGCGTGGCCGGATTTTGGAGGAATTTTTAAAACATTTTTGAAACTTTAAAAATTATAATAGTTAAATAAAAATGAAAACAATTCTTGTAAAAATTAATCGAGTTTTTTCAGACTATAATGTCCTTAAAATTAAAAGCTTATATAATTTGTAAATTAAATAATTTTATTGCAGTTTTTATTTTGCAATTCAGAGCAGATTTTCGGGAAAGAAATAGTAGTTTGAAAAATATTGATGATTTGCATTCTACAATGAGTCTTTTCTCACCAATAAAACAAATTTAGAGGACGGAATTTAATTTCAAGAAATTTCTAGAAATTAAGTAACTGGTGGCAGTGATGGAGAGGGGTTTAATGGATGTAAAAAAAAATTCCAAAATTTTCTAAATATAATAATTTAAAAGCTAAAATAATTCATTTGTGAATAAGTCCTGAAAGTTTCATTAACATTCGTCGGTTATTTGATTTTTGCAAGAATTTCTAAATTAAATTGTTATTTTACTGGAAAAAGCGTTAAAATGTCCATAACGAGAGCAGTTACAC